GTGGTGAGGTAGAATTCTGTAATCACACACCAAGTTTAAAAAGTTTCCAGATATTTTAACAGAAATTTAAGAGAAGGATGTTATTGGCCTTTAATCCAAACAGAAATCTGGTGGAAACTGAAATACCAATTCATTATTTGCAAATGAAACCTAACTTTTATTCTTAAATACTGGCAAATTTATTATACAAAACTGCTAACAAAGACTGTCATTATTCAAGAAGAAAATTTAAAGTCAAAACCAAATCACCTACACTCTGAAATAGCCCAAGTAATAGAGCTGAAATGTAAATATAAACAAGGTTTCTGACTCATTTCAGTGTCTGATTTTTTTTGCCTGCTAGCAAGTCTAAAGTAAAAAGCAGAGAAGTGTTAGTGATGAAAACAAAGTATCAGTACTCTTAAATTTAGAACTAAAGAGATTATACATACAGCACTCAATTGCTAAGGAGCTACAAAGCTAAAGTTTAGAAAAGGCTTAAGATAGTTTAGAAAAATGACATATTGACTATCTTGTTGTTAAAACTAGAGGGTTAATGGCCATGATTGAATCTAGTCTGCAGTTGACTGGAATTATAATCAAACTCTTACACTTCAAAATCATTCCATGTGAAATATTGAAGTAGTATTCAGAAGAACTTTAATGCACCATTAACATTTTAAGTGTCCCCTTATATAACAATATATCTTCAAAATATTTCAAAGTTCATTTCAAGTTCTCACCTTATTTCCAATTACTCTATTTTAGGTTTGTAGCAAAAACCCCCGAAACAAAGAACCTTTTTTTAAAGGATTTATGTTATTTTTTCCACTTTCTGAACATAACATCTGGAAATATACTAAAAAATGCATCTTGCATGCAAGTAAAATTTAACTTCTTGTTCTTTATGAAATAAATTCACTGTTTTGCAGAGAAGCAATGGGCAATAACCTAACATTTTAGTCATTACTGCACAAGCAATAAATCCAGTATTAGGCAATGGTTCAAACTAGCCTCATTACTTTAAATTAGCTAACAGGATTCCACAAGATATGTGTACCAGCTACCTGGGCATACTCTTAACCTGGTAAAATCTGTAAGTGGTTTAGATTTCTAAGATGAAGTATAGCAAAACAAAAATAAATTCTTACTCAAGTTGTTTAGGACTGGCGATCTGAGGAAATAAGGCTCAAAGCACTGCAAACAATGACTGTTTCCCTCCTTTTGGGCCCCTTGTTTGGACCGACTGGCTATTTCCAGCTACAACTGACAAGATCTTGAGTCCTGAACAGATTTTATAACATCAGCCAAAACCCATTTCTGCTCCCTTTAAAAGACAAACACAGCATTTATGCAACCAGCTGTGAGAACAGCAAAGAAAAAAGTCAACATGGAGACTAGAAAGAGCTCATAAGCCATGAAAGTTTTAGATGGTTCTTATCTTCTAACATTGGAGAACTGAAAGACTCACAGACACAAGGGATTACATCAGTCCTTCGTATTCTGTTTTGCCTTGTGCGGTAGCTCTGCGACGAAAGGAAGTTTTTTGTTCTCGTCATTTTAACAGGTTAGGCAACTATTAGTATGACCAGTTCAAAAAGAAACTAAGTATTTGAGAGATTGGAGGGCCTAGTCCCCAGAATGAGTGACTGACAGTAGACACTAGCATCATAATCTGAACATATTTAGAACTACTTTATGATAAAGTAGAATCTGACACACAAAATGAATACCCTTTTTGATCTTGTCACCAGTTGTTTCAAAAATTGAGGGACGGGAGTCAAAACAACACTACCAGAAGACAGAACTCATACTCCAACTTTGCTAATGTTGTGACATGGGCCATGAAGTGTTATCTGCATACTTGTCATT